TGCTGGCCACCCCTCTGCTGCTGGAGCCCAGGATCCCATTTGCTTTCCCAGCTGTAATCACACCCTGCTGCTTCACCTTCAGTTTTCCATCCCTCAGTACCCCAGGTCCTTCTCTGCAGAATGGAAACGAAACACCCAAAAGCCCTTAGCAGGATAAAAAGAGCAATAGGGGCCCTTTTGGCAGCCATGGGTTCTCACTGTCCACCTTTCCCACAGCAGCTTCCCCAGCGGGCCAGCAGGCTCAGCTCAGCCCTTCCATGGCATGTTGGACCGGGTGCCCAACGAGCCGTCGTACCGCGCGCCGCTGGAGAAGCTCTTCTACCTCCCCCACGTCTGCAGCTACGCCTGCCTGTCCCGAGTGCGACCCATCCGCAGCGATCAGTACCGTAGCAAGAACCCCCTGCTCATCCCTCTGCTCTACGACTTCAGGAGGATGACAGCTCGTCGCAGGGTGAACCGTAAGATGGGTTTCCATGTCATCTACAAAACGCCTTGCGGGCTCTGCCTGCGCAGCATGGCCGAAATCGAGCGCTACCTCTTCGAGACCGACTGCGATTTCCTCTTTTTGGAGATGTTCTGCCTGGATCCTTACGTTTTGGTGGATCGTAAATTCCAGCCTTACAAACCCTACTATTACATCGCTGATATCACTAAGGGTCGTGAGGACGTGCCTCTGTCCTGTGTCAATGAGATCGACAGCACGCCGCCGCCGCAGGTGGCTTACAGCAAGGAGCGCATCCCTGGCAAGGGGGTCTTCATCAACACGGGCTGGGAATTCCTCGTGGGCTGCGACTGCAGGGATGGCTGCAGGGACAAGTAGGTGATCCCTGCTGCTCCTCATTCCCTCCCGTTCAGCTGGCTCACAGTGCTGTGGGGCCACGTTGGGCCGCAGCTTTGGCCCTGAAGCTCTGTCTGCCCGCACGCAGGAGGGCTCAGCTTTCCCTTCCTGCCAAACCGGTGTGCAGAATCGATTCTCTGGGGGCTCAGGTGAGTTTTATTTCTCTCTGCCTGCAGATCTAAGTGTGCCTGTCACCAGCTGACGGTCCAAGCAACCGGCTGCACCCCGGGAGGGCAGATCAACCCCAACTCGGGGTACCAGTACAAGAGGCTGGAGGAGTGCCTCCCAACTGGGTGAGCGTGCACCACCTCCCCTCCCCTCCTTTCCTTCTTCTCTATTATTGGCCTCCTCTCCTCTCCTTTCCTTCTTCTCTATTATTGGCCCCCATCCCCTCTCCCTCCCCATCCCCTCTCCCTCCCCATCCCCTCTCCCTCCCCATCCCCCCTCCCTCTCCATCCCCCCTCCCTCTCCATCCCCCCTCCCTCTCCATCCCCTCTCCCTCTCCTCTCATTATAGGCCTCTCCCCTCTGACCTGTCTGCCTCAGGGGAGGAGAGCTCTGCTCTCAGATAACTGACACCGCTCTCCTTCCTTTCAGGGTTTACGAGTGTAACAAGAGGTGTAAATGCAACGTCAACATGTGCACCAACCGCCTGGTCCAGCACGGGCTGCAGGTCAGGCTGCAGCTGTTCAAGACTCAGAACAAGGGCTGGGGCATCCGCTGCCTTGATGACATTGCCAAGGGCTCCTTCGTCTGCATCTATGCAGGTAGAGCTGACAGCTTTGGCTGGAGATGGGTGCTGTGCAGAGGCAGGAGGGGGCACGCAGTGCAAACCCAACATTGCAGTGTGTGAGGGCTCTGGTCCCAGTGGGGTTACAGCACTGTGGGCTGTCGGTGTGACTGGGAAAGTCACGCTTTGTTTTCTGCTTACCAGGGAAAATCCTCACGGATGACTTCGCCGACAAAGAGGGCTTGGAGATGGGGGATGAATACTTTGCAAACCTGGATCACATCGAGAGCGTGGAGAACTTCAAGGAGGGCTACGAGAGCGACGCCAAGTGCTCGTCTGACAGCAGCGGGGTGGACCTGAAGGATGATGAGGAGGACAACACGGGCACGGAGGAGCAGGAGGAGTCCAACGAGGACAGTTCTGATGACAACTTCTGCAAGGATGAGGGCTTCAATGCCAGCTCGGTGTGGCGCAGCTACGCCACGAGGCGACAAACCCGCGGCCAGAAGGAAAACGGGCTCTCAGAAACAGCCTCCAAGGATTCGGGGCTCACACCGCAGGTCGGCCAAGATGAGGCTGCAGCAGCTGCTTCCTGCAAGCTGCCCGTTTCTGAGGAGACCTCCAAGAACAAAGTGGCCTCGTGGCTCAGCTCCAACAGCGTGTCTGACAGCTTCCAGGACAATGACAGCACCTCGTCCTTCAAGATGAGCGAAGGAGGGGAGGCCAAAGGCTGCAGGGTTGATCCTGCCCCAGGGGGAGCGGAGGGAGAGGCAAAGGCACCAAGGAAGGATGTGAGCTGGGGGGGTTGGGGGGCTCAACCCCGTGTTGGGGGGTTTTGGGTGCTCTGTGCTCATCCTCTGCCCTGAGGAGGGGGCCTGGAGATCCGATGGGTTTGGAGGGTGGGTGTGGTAAATGGATCCTTCTGGAGCACCCACAAAGAAAAGAAGGAATTTTCATCTTTTGCATTTCTTCCTTCTGCAGGAACCTGAAGACTCAAGCAAAGTCCCCGGGTAAGGTTCCTTCAATCGTATTTTTCTGCTTTTTATTATGATTAATTCTTTCCAAATTTGCCTTGGAATGAATTGCTGTGGTTCTGTGGCTGCTCCCCACTTCTTTTAGATATCAGTAAGCTGCACCAGAGGGATGCGAGTAGTCGGGGCTGCTCGAAGATGCTGTTCTCTTTGAGTTCTCTGCTTTCCCAACCACCTCTGAGTTCTTCTCCTCCCCTCGCAGGCTCAGCGACCTGGGCAGGCTGTATGGCTACAACCCCAGCCCCCCCAAACTGGAAGGGCTGCGCAGACCCACCAGCAAAACAGCTCTGCTGCAGAGCAGGCGGCACTCGGGGCCCCTGCAGCCCCCCGCCGAGGTGAGCTGCCCTATGGCTGTCCTCTGTGCTGCTCTTCTTGTCATCTGCTGCTCTCTTTTGAGTGCCAATGGCTCCTAATTGAGATTATGGGGGAGTTGAGGCTGCCTTCTGCTGGTGGGGGTCTCTCAGTTCTGAAGGCTCAGCTTTTGTGCTGGACTCCTCTCCGTCATAGAACTGCACGGTGCCTTGCTCTGCACCCAGGGGATGAGGATGCTGTGCACTAAGGGGGAGAGGGATCCCCCATCCCTGTGGGTATTCCCTGCAAGACTCAAAGAGAGCCCATCCTCCTCCAGAGCCCCAGCACTGCGTGGCTCAGCTCCCTGCCAGCTGCCTGTGTGCAGGTTTCCTAAGGGGTGGAGGGGTCCTTTAGTGGGGATATAGTGAGGGGGGGGAGTGGGAGCAGCACTGCTCAGGAGCTGCAATGGCACTTCCAGGACGTGCTGACCCTGTCCAGCAGCACAGACAGCGATGGAGACAACGGGCCCAAGGTGGAGGGGCAGCCCCAGGGTGCTGCCAACGACAGTGATGACATCCAGACCATCTCATCGGGCTCTGAGGAGGAGGAAGGGGATGAGAAGAAGAATCCCTCTGGTTCAGGTGAGTGCAGGGAGGCAAAGGGCTGCCCCACAGCCTCCCGGTGCTGAGAGCTGCCCCTGCTCACAACACTGTGCTGCTGCTCATAGGGATGTGGGAGGGTGAGGAGGGGGGTTGGCAGGAGCCCACCTTGGGGTGGTGTGGATCTGAGCTGCACCTCAGGTTTCTGAGCTGGGTGGAAGCAGAAGCTGGATGTCTCCCAGTTCTGAAGGCCACAGGACTCAGCTTTTGTGCAAGAGGATGGCACAGTGCCTCGCTCTGCACCTGGGGGGGTCCCACAGTGAGCCTGGAGCTGTGGATTCCTCCTGGCCTTCACTCTCTTGCAGGGCCCATGAAGAGGCAGGTGGCAGTGAAATCCACACGGGGGTTTGCCCTGAAATCCACCCACGGCATCGCCATCAAATCCACCAACATGGCAGCAGCTGAGAAGGGCGACAGCGCTCCGGTCTGCAGGACAACACGGCAGTTCTATGATGGAGAGGAGTCCTGCTATATCATTGATGCCAAACTGGAAGGGAACCTGGGCCGCTACCTCAACGTGAGCACGGAGCTCCGGGAGAGCTGGGATGGTGCAGTGGGATGCAGTGGGTTGATGCAGTGGGTTGATGCAGTGGGTTGATGCAGTGGGTTGATGCAGTGGGATGCACTGAGATGATGTAGGATGCATTGGGGGGCAGTGGGATGAGGCAGTGGGATGATGCAGGATGTATTGGGATGATGTGGGATGCATTGAGATGATGCAGTGGGATGCACTGAGATGATGTAGGATGTATTGGGGTGCAGATGGACGCATTGGGATGATGATGGGGGATGCAGTGGGTTGATGTGGGATGCAGTGAGATGATGTGGGATGTATTGGGCTGCAGTGGGGTGATGCAGTGGGATAATGGGGATGATGTGGGATGCATTGAGATGATGCAGTGGGTTGCACTGAGATGATGTAGGATGCATTGGGGTGCAGTGGGACGCATTGGGATGATGATGGGGGATGCAGTGGGTTGATGTGGGATGCAGTGAGATGATGTAGGATGTATTGGGCTGCAGTGGGACGCATTGGGATGATGTGGGATGCATTGGGATGATGCAGTGGGATAATGGGGGATGCAGTGGGATGATGATGTGAGATGATGTGGGCTGCATTGGGATGATGTGGGCTGCAGTGGGATGATGATGTGGGATGCACTGAGATGATGTAGGATGTATTGGGCTGCAGTGGGATGGTGTGGGATGTATTGGGATGATGTGGGATGGTGCAGTGGGATGATGTGGGATGATGCAATGGGATGATGGGGGCTGCAGTGGGATGATGCAGTGGAATGATGCAGTGGGATGCACTGAGATGATGTAGGATGTATTGGGCTGCAGTGGGATGGTGTGGGATGTATTGGGATGCAGTGGGATGGTGCAGTGGGACAATATGGGATGCAGTGGGATGACGTGGGATGCGGCTCTTTCAGGGCTGCCACTCATTTGTGAGGGTTTCTGCCTCCCCCTTCCCACCCCCCAGGGCTCACTCAGCACCCACAGCTCTGTTCTCTTTGCAGCACAGCTGCAGTCCCAACCTCTTCGTGCAGAACGTTTTCGTGGACACGCACGACCTGCGCTTCCCGTGGGTCGCCTTCTTTGCCAGCAAGTAAATGGAGGAAGGGGGGGAGGAGGCTGGGATCTCTGCTGGTTTGTGGGCTCTGCCCATTTGTGGGGTCAGGCCCAGCCTTCCCTCCCAGCTGGGACATGGGGTTGGGTGGAGAGGAGGGGGCTGAGTGGGGATCCATCACTGCAGGGCATCCCAAGGGTTGGAGCCGCTGCTGTGGGGCAGCGTTCAGACCCCACTGTGCCCCATAGGAATGGGGTGGGGGTCCTTTGTCCCACGTGGCCACAGCATCCCATTGGGAACAGCATCTCCTTTGTGGCTGCCTTTCTTTGCAGGAGGATCCGGGCTGGCACAGAACTGACCTGGGATTACAACTACGAGGTGGGCAGCGTGGAGGGCAAAGAGCTGCTGTGCTGCTGCGGGGCCATTGAGTGCAGAGGGAGGCTGCTCTGAGCCTGGAGCCCCCATCTATTGAACTGTGAGCTGCTGGAGGGGGCACAACGGCAGCTGGGGGGGCTGCATCCCCCACCCTCACCTGAGCCTGTGCTGTTTGGGGGGGGCTCTGACCCCACAGAGCCCTCCCTGCTGTTGCTGTTGTGTTAAATGGGGCTGTGGGTCGCTGTTGCTGCCATTTTGTTGGACTGGGGGTCTCCTGGAGCTGGGGGAGGGGGGGGAGGTAGGGGGTGATAATAAACATCAGTTATGGGGCTGAGAGAGGAAGCAGCCACCCCTCATTATGAGATGTAAAGAATTCTTGTTGTTACAAAGCAATAAAATGGGGTTTTCTACACCCAACATTCACACAACGCAGTGCCCCCCAACTCCCTCCCCCCCCCCATCCCTTTTGTTATTTATGTATTTAACCAAAGCTTATCATTATTAGTTGGTTATTTATTTTTTTTTTTAAACTTTATTAATATATTTTAACCTTTAAAAAAGAAAAAAAAAAAAAAAAACAACCAAAAACAAAACCAAAAACAAAATGACA